TGGAAGGGGCTTTCGGCATGTGGCAGCGCGCCAGCTTCCCACAGAAGCCACGTGAACGCATGACGGGCTTGCATTGCTTCTATGGCTACGGGGTTATCTTTTCCAGGTCTTGGTTTCATCATCACTGGGCGGAAGGGACTCCAAGGCGATTACCTTCGTGATGTGGCAGAGGTGGGCAGTCTGTACATATCTTTTTCTGGACTGCTTGAGCCTCAGCCCTCCCCGATGGTATTGGCGCCATGCTCAATATATGCAGAACAGGATTGTTTTGTCGTATTCTGACAGTTGATGCAGGGAGTCAACGACATTCAATGGACAATCTTGTTCCAGGCGACAGATCTACCTAAGTTTGATGAGGGCCCCTGTTGGGGATTTCTCAAGTCCATGACACGTGCTACTGCACTGTAATGACGAACCCGTGCGTAAACACCGTGCTCAGCACACTCCATCACCAACCCTCAGCTCGCTGCGATGTTCCCAGTGTGGCTATAGACTCGACAATTTCCGAGTGCGCCTCCTCTGGTTGCGGGTCACGAAGAAACGCAGGCTGCCCCACCTGCCCCGCGTGAACTGTGGTATGTATAGCCGAATCCGGCCGCTATATTTGCGTGCTGCTCATGCGGATGCTTCGATGGACCAAGTTAGGACAAAGTTCTGTGTCGAGATGATGTCCGCCGGACTCAGAGAACCCGGCCAGGCCAGTGCCTGCGACTTTAACGAAACCATATGACACGAACCCGATCTTGTCGAGTCCAAGATCCCTAATATCCTACATGAACATGCCGAAACCAACAGCATTCCATCCGACCATACATCTAGTCTTTCAACACTCTGGGCACGTCGTCATAGGTCTGCGAGTTGAACACCATAACAACTTCCCCTGACGATGCTAGGTGAGGCACCGGAACGGATCACAGTCACAGCAGCTACCAGTAGCTAGCATAGCTTCTGTTCGTGGTCGTATGACCACAGCCTAACAGCGACAACTGCTGTCACTTCGTACAACTTCCCTAATAAACCGATGGGCATGGACGCGCGAAGCCCTGTGTTTCTCGTGAAGAAATGCACCTGATCAGTTGTCGCAGCTGATGCTGGCTGGCAACTCAGCGACGGATGCTACGTAAGCTGAACATTTTGCCTGTCCGGCAGGCTGATGTGTGGGAACGAAACTGCATGAAACCAAACCGTGGTGCTGGCGCCCCGTGTGAGCGATAACAGGCCTACTCTCGGAAGCTTTGTGCCAACTAGTTCGCTATGCTTGCACGGCATGCACGCTCAGCCTTTTGGAGGTTTTTTGTTTGGGTTTGTGTCGATGCGTGTGTGGGTGCGTGGGTGCATGGAGGTGTGTGTGTGGGGGTGGGTGTGCGTGTAGTGTGCGTGCGCGTGCGGGTGGGTGTGGGTGTGGGTGTGGGATGTGGGATGTGGGATGTGG